CCCCACTGCAGTCAGCATGTCGTTGTGTCCCTGAAGACACTTCACCCAAATTGCTCCTGTGGGGATTGTCCACAGTATTGAGTATGTAAGTCGCTTTGGATAAAAGCGTCTAACACGTGACATGTAATGTAATGTAATCTATTAAGGGGAAGGAAGTTTAAATAAAGATTAAGATCACCTCACCTAACCCCAGACTTCTCAGCATCTACATCTCAGTGTTAGTTAGTGGAAAGATCACCACCAGCATTCAAGATCATCAAACACTTGCAGTTTATCAGATCATATTTGATTTATATTTAGATCATACTCAATGTTAAGAGACCTATTGGTAGTGTCTTAATTCACTGTTGTAATTAGATTTGAACTTTTCATGATTTACATTTCCAAGCATGTGGCAACAAGGCTAAACACCAACCGGGAGATGTTCTGTTTAAACCAGTTTATGAATTCCATAGGACCAACTGTGTCTCGAGACTCTCGACAGTACATGTCATTATTTTAGCTGCAACCATAGTCAGTGGTGTAAAGTACATTTAACTAAGTGTTGCACTTAAGTACAATATGAGAGACTTGTACTTTATTATTTACTTTGTATTTCTACTCCAATACAATTCAGAGATAAATGGTGTACTTTTACTCCACTACATTTATTTAATACCTTTAGTTACTTTACAGGTGTGGATGAATGATGTTAAATATAATCAAGTGTTAAATCAGACTTTAGTTCCACCTGGAGTAAATTCACAAGCTACCCTGCAGTATACAAAGTCATTCAAACTAGCTGCACCTTTACCAGCTTTGAGAACACTTTAATGATCAATCATTATAAAACATATCATATATATTAATCCTCTTCAAGACACTGGTTCTGGCTTACTGTGTTGTGAATGGATCCAGTTCTTCCTACATTGAGGACATTGTTAAATCATACAGTCAAGCATGTGCACTTCACTATGCATCAGCCAATCAGCTTCACTGCAATGTGGACTCAGGTTCCCCTCATCAAAACACGCCTGTTTGTTATCTTGGCTCCAAAATTGTGAAACGGATCCCCATTAACATCAGGACAGCAGAAAGTCTACACATCCTCCACACAGACAGAAAACCCACCTGTTTCCACTGCAACTTGGACAATAAAAACATAAACAAAATGAATTCTCTCTTCAGTACTTGCACTTAGAGAGGTTCGGTTTGGTTTGGTGTCAGCTCTGTAATATGCTTTACAGAAACCAAATATTTCCTGACATGATATGTGCAGCCCAAAGGTTGATCCTGATTCATTACTTGACCTTGGGGCGTTGCAAGATGCTGCTCGTTTTGAATCTTGTTTTAGATTTCATTATCCCACTTTATTGGAGATGGTGCTTAAATGTTGCATACTCATAAATGGCGGTATTTCATCTGGGTACTCCATAGAAAAACTTCCTGCCATGTGTGCTAAAGAAGAACAGTTACAGTACACGTTGCGCAGAGAGCAGGGGGAATGTGGTCAATACTGTCTCAGCAGATCATTGTGTCCCTGTTCACTGGTTTATCCGGTTGGTTCCATGAACAAAAGAGAACAGGATCCTGTTCAGACAAACTAAACTACCAAAGTCACTTTAGAGATAAGTTGGTTTTAAGAGGCTCTATAATCATTTTTTGTGTTTTTACCTCTCCTGTATGTAGTGTGTTATATAGGTATTTGTGCATGTAAATGGTCTGCAAAGGCTAACATCCCTGTGTTCCGTCCACAGTGAGTTTCTCCCCCACACACTCCCCCCCCCCTGCCTCCATTGGACTCCTTTTTTACTTCAGGAACATCACTAACACTGGAGCTTCTATTGGATAGTACTCCAACACATTCTACGCTAAGGGGTGGGACATCTCTAAGTGGTTGACCATTCACAACAGAGCCGACCAGCTAACCAATCAGAGCAGGCTGGGCTCTGGTTTCAGACAGAGGGTGAAAAGAGGTGCTGCAGCACAGGCAGTATGAGGAAAATAAAGAGCTTTTTGAACATTAAAGCATGGAGACATGTCACAGAGGCACAGAGTACAGATATAAAGCTGAACATTAGCTTAATATGCCCCCAACAAGTACTGTAGATATGTTATGGTCCAACAGGACTGTGAAGTGAAGCATATGTCATTATTTAGGCAGGAAGGTCACATTAAGGGCAACAGTAAAAGAGGGGAGACTAACAGTATAGGCTCAGTCAGGGGTTACGCTACTCAAGCACTATTCTTAAATTCTTATACTTTTACTCTATGAGTACTCTATTTCCATTGTATTCTACTTCATTCTTCTACTCCACTACAAGTTGGAAGCAGAAATATTTTACTTTTTAATCCTCTACATTTAATTGTAAGCATTAGTTACTACAGTAGATATTAAGCAGGGTTATATTATTCAAACTAAATTAAATTGAGTGATAAATTAGGATATACTATCATGGATTAAGATACTTTGCAGTATAAAACGTCATTAAAGTTAGTTCAACTTTCCAAGCTGCAAAATTAAATGATGTACACATATATATATAATAATTATAACCCTGTGATATAATATAAATAGATGCCACTTCTGCATGGACAGTACCTCAAGTATATTTTGATGGTAATACTTTTGTACTTTTAAAAGATTACTTCTTTAACCACTGTTTTTCGCATTATCTACAATTCTTACTGTAAACACTTTTCATCAGAATTATTTTCTATATAAAGTAATCCTTATATTTAAGCAATAGCTCACGACAGGCCGTGGTATATGCTCATTATATCACAGCTAAGGGGCGTGGTTCGGCCCGACGCGAAGGAACTGCATTCTGAATATGTTTTGCCGTTTGATGTCTATGTCTGGGCCGCTGCGTAAAAAGGAGGGTTTCTGCCCCGTTACTTCTCCGCTGCTTTCTTGTTCCAGTCTGAAAAGCTGCAGTTTGCTTTTCAACCCAACTGTATACTGTTTGCCTCAGGCGCGGAGGGATACTGACATGTTGTGAAAAGTAACTTACAATTCTACCCGTGGTATACGCTCAGTATATCACGGCTAAGAACCAATCAGATTGCTTGTTTTGACTTGTCCGTTTTATAATCTAAGCAATAGCATTTAAAAAGCATGTCACTGAATGCCAAATAATAGATTTGATTTAACTGGGCAGTTGGAATATCATTATCATTAGTTTACCAGAGAGCAGAAAAGCCATGTGAATGTGAATAAAAATGATATTTATGAATGTTAAACAAACTCAGACAAGAGCAGAGAATACAAACAGACTGCTACCGAACAGCAGCAATTTCACACATGTCCAGTGCAGAACAAACAGTAGGCTACAAAACTGTACATTAGGCCTACAGAACTAACAGGTCGGAAAGGTGTTGCATTTCGCCAAATTGCGGGGGGGGGAAGGTTAGTGTGAGCCCTGCGCTTGGTGGTTCTCCACCAGTTTCTTCACTGCGGGTTGCAGAGAACTTAGTTTCAGTCGCAGTGCACCTGAGGCCGTCAAGTTCAAGCGATTGCGGTACTTGGACTGCATGTGGAGGACCTGGCTGAATCCCTGCTCCACGAGGTATGTGGTTGGGAAAGCCAGAAGAAGCAGCCTCGCTTTCTCCCAGAGAGCCGGGTAACGCTGAGAGTATTTGACCCACATGTTGCCCCAGCCAGAGGTGCGGAAAATAGCCTGGGCCTCATCGTCACTCTGGATGTCGATGAGATGCTCCTGTATTGCTGGCTCGCATTCCGCCACGTCCGCCTGAAAGGGCTGCACCACCCAGGTGGGAACCTCGAGGTCCAAAAGATCTCTGAAGCGGATCTTCAAGTCGGCATTCACCATCCTCAGGTGGTCTGTGTATAATTTTTTCATTATTGTTGGTTCGTGCGACTTTTGTCGTGTGTCAACCAGGAATAACAAACAGTAATATGTTAATAGAAAATTAATGATTTACGGTGGTGTCTTTACCGTTATCGGTTTGTAGTCGTCTGACTTCTACTTGTTTTTTTTTTATTTTTGACAAGAGTTGCCCGCATGGCTGTGTTGTTTCTTGTCTTATGTTTGTGTGTGCTCTCTCCTTTTTAAACTTCTCCCCCCGCAAACCTCCACAGAACCCCCGCAAAGTGCGTATTACCAGGGAAAAACCCAGTACTTTTGTGCGGACCGGTTTTCGCAGAAAAAAGGTGACATGGTTTTTTCGTGTGACAGTCGAGGAAAACAACGATATCCATTTTAGGGTGTTGGGACGCACGCAACTCAGGTCGACAGTCGGGGTCACAATAAATGCCCTTGCAGCACTGTTTCGTGCTTGCCCAGTCAGGCGAGCGGTGTTGGGCAAGCAGGGCGTCTCGGTGGGTCCGCCTCGCGAAGTTCGCCGTCGCGAGACCACCTGCCCTTGCCCCCTGGCGAGCTCGGCGAGCTCGCGTAATGCTTTGCTTGGTACGAATTTCTTGTTGATTCGTCTGTAGACCTACATATCTCGTTCCGATCGGTCTAGCAACCTATTAAACCTCGGCAGTACGCTGGACAATTCGATGGTAACAGGTGAAGAGGCGGAGCAAATGGAGTGAAGTGATAACGATCAGTTACTCTACATATGTATAGCCGCTGTGATGTGGCTTACGTCTAGTAAGATTTTGAAACGGGTCTATAATCTATACTTTTTATTCACTGGGGTAAATTTATATTAACCGTATAGTGTCGCTCTCGAACATGATGAGTGGCTTACTTTCGGTCCCGGTGCACGAGCGCTCCGGTGTCTGAAACAGAGTACAGACGGTTTCGTGCTAGATGTCACTACGCTACTCCTTGGAACCGCGACCTAGAGCTGAGTTTGTGGACAGTGCTCTTAGATTTTCTGTCTCATAACTGGACTAATGTTTCACGTCTGTATCCGTGGAGATCGGCAAACGGTACTGCGGATAGCAACTCGACTGAGCCCGTATTGTTGGGCTGGTGGGCTGCTTTTATGTGAAATGTTATAACCGTTAGATTAGCTCCTTAATCTTAGGGTAACATTCGTTTATCAGTCTCGCATAGGTTTTGTATTACTACGAGTCGTTTTCCCGACGCTTGTTTCTATTTTACGTTCTGTTCTGGTAACTTATGAATTCGATACCGAAGTTGGCAGGATGGGTTACGTTGTTGATGGTGTTAAAACGTCACCTAACGAGTTGAGATCGTTGTCACTATTATCCAACCGGTTTTAATAACTCTTTACTTTGGGTACTGTAGCACCACCTTTTCCTGTCCGTTGGTGGTGAGTTCAGGAAAATGTCGTACCTTCCTTAAGGTGGCCTATAATCCGTCTATTCCCTTTGGTCGATTCCGGGTTGCTCTGGGCTTAAGAAAAGGTTTGTGTTTCGCTCTTTGCTCCACACTACCACTCTATTATCGGTGTGTCAGTCGAAAGCAGGATGTGGTGTGGGTTCCGGTGAGTCCTCGCGCGTTCTTAGTCGTCTCTCTAAGTCTACCTCTTGCTACATCGAACTCGACCCTTTATTGTGACAAGGTTCTGAGAGACTGCCGTTGTTTAACGTTCTACTCTCTCTATAGAGAGTGTGTGTGTGAGCTTACTCTTTCCCAGTGGGATAGTGTCCTTCTGACTAGACTACGTAGGGGGTATCTAGTACATCTTTGCGAGTGTGTGTTCTACTTTACCCGCGACTATGGTCTCCTCGTCGACACCCCGGTAGGACGCCCACTTTGAGGTAAGTCGGAAGGTCGACTTTACTCTGTTGGTGAAGACTGTTGTTACAGACAACTACGGATACAGGCGATATCGGGTGGATGAGGTTGGGTCAGTCCTTCTACGAAACCTCTTAAAAATAAAAGGTTTTATAGACCAGGTTTCTGTGGCTCCCTTGTCTTGGGTAAAAATTACGTGACCCTGAATGGATTTCCTCCTTAGAGGTTAGGGCTAGTTGGTTGTAGGAGCGTACACGATGACTGGCCACGGGGAAGGTACCCAAACCGTTCATGGCACCCGAAGTGTGAGACTGCTTCTCGTCCCAGCGGACAGGAGTGTCAGGTGACACAGAACGTTGGCCGGTGTTGGAACACCCGTTAGCATTTTCAGGTGCAGAGGTGCCTCAGGTTACACCGTCATTTCCGTTATTTTGGTTTTTTTTCGGGTGCGGGACTTTATTGTCTAACAGGCCGTCGGACGCCAATCCTTTTCTACTCTGGCAAACCCGCAGAAGGAAGGGGAGGTGTGACTACAGGCGACCGAGAGTTTTCCTTTGAACGGAACGAGCAAAAACACCTGACAACTGTCGGTAGCCACCCCTCAAGGACCTCCTGCACTGCCATCGGAAGCACCTGTCACAGTCGTCACTGTGCAGTACCTGGGAAGCGGTGGAGAACCGACTTTCCTCGTGCAGGCTTCGGACCATGGAGTGTCAGGTGATCACAGAGACTCAGGTCTCGTTGCGCACGAACGGCCCGTAGGTTCATAGTGATA